GGAGACCAGAGAAAGCACTGAAAATAACCACTAAGAAACACTTCTGCAATAGTCCCCAAGGATGACTGCATGAAGTCTTAAGCCTGATAAAGAAGTATTCCACTGAAAAGTCACCAGGGAGATTTTTTTCTTCTGAATTTTAATTTCACAGAAGGAAAAACGTGTTATAAGCACATAGAATTAGACTGGCTTCTCCTTGCCTTTAACTTCAAGTTTAAACTCTTTGTCCTCCCTCAACTTCGATGGTCTCTAGAACTCAGCATCTGCCGTCCTCTTCATTCCCTCTCTGTAAGGTCACATAATTAACTGTTCCCTTCATATTTATCACTCTTTCTTCACCTTTTCTTCCTTACAGCTCTCTCTGCTTGAAATTTCCTTCCTTACACAGACCAACACCTCCAACTCACATTGTGATGTTCGGGGGGGGGAGGAAGGGGAAAATGGTGTTCTCTTTGCTCTCACACTAGTGTAGAAACAAAAGAACATTAAAGATGCAATTTGGATAATACAGCCATCTGTGACAGACTTTTTGGAGGGCGGGATAGGGATTAAATCCTGTTTGTATGGAATTGTGAGAATTTAAATATGATTGAAATGAATTAGTTAAATATGACTGAAAAACCTAATTCTTAAACACTTATTTCTCCCTCTATATAAAAAAAAGTTTTTAATCTTTATCTGGCTCCTTTTTTTTACTTTTCCTCTAGTTTTACAGGTATATTAATTCATGATTAAACAGATCAATCAGAGTTAAACATCAATAAAAAATGCCAATGGTATCAAAATAAGATTTCCCGTGGTTATACACTCAATTTAGAAACTAGCAAAACTGCAATAATTCTAACCTTTTTTTTTTTTTGGGGGGGGGGGGGGGGGGGGGGGGGGGTCAGGATAAGGAAAAAGTTATAAAACATGAATCACATCACCAAATACACCATTAATACAGCAGTTTGTGGTATATGCATTGATGTATTAAATTGAAGATTTTAAGAAGACCTTAAAAATATTCCCTGATTTATTAACAAAAAATTAAAATATTCTACCTGCCTTAAATGTCACACTCCTGTTTCATCAATGACATTCAATTACGTAACAATATTCTGAATCGATTCAGACTTCTTTTGAGGAAAAAAACAATAAAGTTCTAGAACTATGTGTACTATTTTCTTCAGTCACATTTCCTTCCCTTCCCTGTCCTGCTTTTCTTTTGACAAACAAAAATTTACATTTGATGAGCAATCATTTCAGCAGTAATGCCAGAGTTAAAACCCATGTTTGCTCTGGGTCTCTGAGTTATTAATATGAATTAAATAAATTCTCTTTTATTTGCAAATATCCAGAAGCCAAATATGCCAGGCCATGGTAAAGCATCAATATGCTTCAGACCCACGTCAACAATCTCTGTGTGTCTTGGTAAATTCTGGCCCACTGTACATGACAAATAGACGACTATCAAAAACACACAAAGCATTTTTTTAGTTCCACTAAGGTTAGTCCACACACACCTTTTCCTCAACAATGGACTAAATGAAGCAAAATATTTGCTAAGCAGATAAGAAACCTCTTACGTTTGTAACTTAGGTACAATGTGTTCTTCCTATTTCTTTCCACTAGGATTTTTTTTTAAGTTCTTTTATTAAACATACTGATTATGCCTCTGGGGCTTGCTCTTTCAAACAAAATCAGAATTTAGAAACCTATTTATAGTCTTCAAATCTTCATTTAAATTTCAAATATTTAATATGACATAAAAAAAAAGTCTATTGCAGTAACTGCAGGAAGAGCAAATAGTAGATCAGAGAAACAACAAGATTATTCCAGCATGTTAGAAAACACCACCCCCAGCACTTCTTCTTCCAATCCCTCCCCCCCATCCCTTCTGTAGCTAACAATTCAAAACAGGTGGATGTTGCACACTGATGACAGTTTCTTAGGGCCCAAACCAACACACACATCACTAGTCCCATTAATTCCAACGGGGGGCTACTCTCAGTGGTAAAGCTAAGCAGTGTTTCAGTGTTTACAGGGCATGGGGCTTCAGATGCTCATGGCCACCTCCTACAGAACATGATGTATTTGAGGGGGAGGTGAAAAGGGAGAATATATTAAGTGTTCTTCTTTATTCAAATATTCGATCTTGTAACCTATTTGTAGAAGTATTCTAGAAGCAACATATTTTACAATCATTTAATTCAAACCTCTGATTTGAAAAATTAACACCTGCCTGACATTGAAGCAAAAATACTCTGAATATTTTAAACTAAGCCTGAAAATATAAGCTCTCTGCTGTATTACATTTTTATATTTCATATGCATACTATAATTTCTGAACCTCCTGCCAACAATGTGCCAGTATGGACTCCAAATTACACAAGTAGCCACTAAAGTGCTTCCTCTCTCAGAGAGATAAGAGAGAAAGGAAGAAGGAAAAAATACTTCAGAACAGATCTCTTCCCTGATGCACTGCTCAGACAGTGACAAGAAATCGTAAAAGCAATTTCTAATTCGTTGATTAGCATCTCCAGGAAGATTGCGGAAAAAAACCTCTAAATTTAAATTTGCAATTATCAGAAACAGAACTGGCAAAATAAGTCCCACTAATGAAGTAAAGCACATGGAAAAGATGAACAGTAGAATCCCAGGCACGCGCGCGTGCGCACACACAAAAAAATTGGAAATCACCTAGAAAATCACGAAAGAGACACCATCATCTTAATCACACTTCTGTTCAAAAATATTGAACAAACAATTGTTAATACATGAAGTTCATTATCTGAGAGAAATTAGAAAATTATTTCTCTATTTCTTCAATTTGTTTTCTTTATGCATTTGACACCACTTCAGTCAGTTAGGGCCTGAACCTGCAAGCACAAAAGTGAGTAACATGTATTCAGGCAAGCAGTGCCCGTTGGAACTACTCCTGTGAATGAAGTTATTCACCTGTATGTTTGCAAGGTGCAACCTTTCATTAGTGTCCTCTGCTTGTGTGTGTCTTCCACAAACAAACAAGGAGAGAAAAACAGTTAAAAACTAAAGCGTATAAAACTACAAGAATTAGGACTTCTTACTGGTACAATTTATTGGATTTACAGTTACTTTATCCTTCCCCACCTTTCTTCTCCTGCTGTTTATTTTCTCTACCTGTTGAATTCTGCCAGAACAAAAGTCCCAATCCTGCAAAGATGTAGGCACATGCTTTAATTTATATGCTGCAAGTAGTCATAGAATATCAGGGTTGGAAGGGACCTCAGGAGGTCATCTAGTCCAACCCCCTGCTCAAAGCAGGGCCAATCCCCAATTTTTGCCCCAGTTCCCTAAATGGCCCCCTCAAGGATTGAACTCACAACCCTGGGTTTAGCAGGCCAATGCTCAAACCAATGAGCTACCCCTCCCCCATAAAAGTCCCACTAAAGTCAAGGGAACTACTCATGCATGTGCTAACTTTACACAGCGTCTGTGTAGGATTGCGTAGATTGTCAAGTCTGAGCAGAGCCTGTCCTTTTACTGCACATCTATACAATGTGTAGCACAATGGGTGACGGATCCTTGACTAGTCACCATCTGGTCCTGCAAATCAAATAAAAAAAACAGTTCAGCAGTGGGATTAAAGGGCAGGTGTAGGACTTAAAGGTTCTGAAATTCATTTATTCACCTGACTAGAGTTCAAGCTGTAGCGCTGCCTTAAGCCAAGTAGGAGTACAGCCCATATAACAGAGCAAAATTTGGGCCTTTACACAGCCAGCTGTACAACTAGTTACTCCTTCAATCATCAACAAGAGAGATACCAGGATGGTACAGGTATGCAGGTGTACAAATCCTACCTCTCTTCAGTCGTATCTAAATAAAAAATAATATTCTTCTTAAATTAAAAAATTTCAGCTTAACTCGTTACCTTCATAAATTAGACAAACCCTTGCAACAACATAAAATGCTATGTAGTGGCTGCTAACAAATCTGTACACATACAGTTTGTGCTGAATCCACTCTCAAGCAATTTAGGAAAGTGAAAAAATGGGATCTGAATGGCATTTAGGAAAACAGATTGTTTTTAAAATGGAGTTTGTGGCCTAAACACATTTTAATAAAACTTTCTAATATACAAGAGATGACAGCATTAATATCATCCTTCCACTTGACCTGAACCACTGTTCTTGGGGTCCCACCTCTACTATATAGAGCTCTAACACGCAAAGTGGTATGTTGTGAGTTTACACACCTTGACAACCAAAAGTACACTAACAACTGAGTATCACATGTACACATAGGTGAATCCAAGCTAGTCTGGAGTTAGTGAATACACCTATAAAACATCAAAAACACCCTCTCACACACACCTTTGATTCAGCTAGCCAGAAACAATGGGCGAATTGTTACCACATGATGGATCTATGGGAGGTAGAAAAGGGACTCACAAACTTGCCCCTCACCTGCTGCCTCATATGTCAAAAGATCAAAAATCCCAGCTCTCTCTCAAAAATAAGACCATCAAGTAACCATTAGCAAAAGTAAAACTACCCCACACCACGAAAGGGGGGTGGAATTTCTTACCAACCCCGAAGGGATTTAGAACACCCAACACCAACTTGTTACAGGTTTCTTTGAACTTCCCAGACTAAGGTGACCTAAAGGAGGGGGCAGCGCTAGTACTTATCAGCAGGGCCATGCAAGCAGAAACCTTGCGTGGAGGCAGGGCGGGATGAAGGGCAGGAAGGTTAAATTCTCACCTGAGGAATGAAGCGCTGCAGAGCTCGTCCTCCCCCTCCACCTGTGAGCCGCCTGGACTGGAGAGAGCTCGGGGCCGGGAAAGGAACAAGAAACTGACTCCTCTGACCGTAAACCCTCCCGCCCCCGACACATACACCCTGCTCGCCCCACAGCGGATGGAGGCGCCTGGGCAGTGCGGGGAGGAACAATGCCCCCGGGGGGTAAGGATCCGGAGACCACTGCCCTCCTCACGGATGCCGCGGCCCGTCCCGGCCTGCCCGAGGCGCTGTACCTACCACCTCGGTGATCTTGATCTTGCCGAAGGCGCCCCGCAGATAGTCCAGGTCGCAGCGGAGGCCGCCCAGCCCGTGGCGCTGGCTGACGGGCTCGGTGGTGGGCTGGTAGGGGCTGCTGGCCCCGGAGATCATGGAGGTGCTGGACGCCTCGCCATCGAAGCCTTCCAAGTCCTCGCCGTTCCTCATGGTGCCGCCGCCCGAGCGCTCGGAGGGCGGCGCAACGATCCCTGCCCGTCAGGTCCCGAGCCGCCGCGGGAGCCGGGCTCGCCTAGCGGAGCGCCGGCAGCATGGCAGCGCGGGGAGCTGGCGCGGGCTCCCTGCCCTTAGGCGGACGGGCGCAGGGAGAGCGGGGGCAGCATGGTGCGGCGCCCGGCCCCGCTGCTCTAGCCCCGCCAGGGGACGCCCCGAACCCCGCCTCGGGCACCGCAATCCCCTGGGACGGCGTTCAGCTCCCGGGGCGCCGCGGTCCTGGAGAGAGGAGCCGCCTCCCCGCTAGTGCCAGGGGCGGGGGGCGCCCCAGGCCCTCGCTGGACGGAGCCTCCCCGCGCTCCCTAGGCCGGCCGGGCGCGAGCTGCCCTGCGGAGCTCCCCTCGTTGTCCTACGCAGGGGCAGCTCCGGCCGGAGAAGCGGTGGTTGCTGCTGCTGCTGCTAGCGCCGCCTGCTCCTCCCCCTGCCGCTGAGCGGAAAGGGCGGAGAGAGCCCGCCCTGAGGCGCGCCGGGGCCAGGAGGCGCCTGCCCCGAGCGGGAGCGGTTACCTGAGCCGTGGGCCTGGTGGGGAACAGCCCCTGTCCAGAGAAAGGGCCGGGAGCGCGGGCACCACCGGGAGGGTCGGCCCCCTCCTTAGAAAACGGGTCAGGTATGGCCACCGCCCCGGGGAACAGCCTGCTCCCCCCACTCCCTTCCCACAGGGACCCCTGGCCCCCGAGAAAGGGCTGGGCACAGGCACCAAGCCTGGGGGAGGCCACTTAAGGACAGCGCGTAGAAAGAAGCAAAATAAATGTGGTTCCGAGTAGTCCACGTCGGTATCATCCGGGAAGAACGATTCGTGCCACAGGTGTGGATGAAAAGGAGAGAAACCCGGGAGGCAGAAGATGATCCTGGGGTGAAGACAAGCCCTTGCCCTTCCTTAGTGCTCCCCACCAAATACCCCCAAGCACCTCACAGACATAAGGGCCTCAATGTCTCTAGGAGAACAGCTGGTGGGATGATCCCACTTCTACAGATGGGGCAACCAAGATATAGGATGCCCAAGGTGACCCAGGAATCACCTGGCAGAGCTGGGCAAAAAAAGCTCTACTCACTGACTCCCACTTTGTCTTGCACCACACAGCAGGCCAGCTTTCCTCTGTATAGGAGAGCAGACTGCAAATCACACACTATTTTATAAAGTGATGTGATGTTAATATTTCAAACAAAACCTCAAAGCAATAATGGGTCACAGACTGTATGTGCAGGGGTCACATGAAGGAAGAAAGCTTTTTATACAGCTCTAGGGTGACCACAGCTGAAATACTGTGTGGTCAGTTCTAGATACTTTCTTAGTGAATAGGAATATGAAGAAGAGTAACAGGAATTAAGAAGCTGGAAGGACTTATTTATAGAGAATTAGGACCCCAATCCTACAATGAGAACTGCGAAGAGAATGGGACTCACACACAGTATTCATTGCAGGGTTGGGGCCTAAACATTATTGTTAGTTCAGTGATGTCCTATTTTACTAAAAGGTTGTTGTTATTCTTATTTGGCTTATGCAATTTGGTCAAGCCAAGCCACAGTGTTCTTATCAATGATGTTCAAGGCACGAAGAATTCCAGGAAGCTGCCATTTGCAGTCCTCAACAATATGTCATGGTTTGTGGCTGCCCACATAGACATAGTGGACTATCTCTAAAATGCCACCGAAATTCTGCTGCTGTACAAATTCCATGTCTGGTACGAAACTGGTTCAGAAGGCTTCATTGCCTTTGTGTAAATCAAACCTGGGCTGACAATGAGTGGGATCCAAGACAAGGTAATAATTTGTCACTTACTTTGCGAACCATGAAACTCATTTTGTGTCCTCTACCATAAATTCTTCACCCAGTAAATTTATCCCCAGCGGGCAATGTGAGGGCAGACGACCATGTGATGGATTAAACAAGTCTTTAATTAACGGAACATATGGCATATCATGCAATTTCATCATGAGCTCTGCAACACTTTCGTCTCTGCGAACACTGGGCAGAGCAATATTGCAGAGAACTGGTAACCAAGGTAGAGAAGATTTAAGTGTGCCTGAAATGATATGCATGGTGGAATTAAGTTGTAAATTGATCATCTTTGTCTGAGATGAGCGAGCCCATACTGGGCCGCAGTACTCCGCCGCTGAATAACAGAGAGCCAAGGCCTAAGCGCATAACATTTGGGTGTTGACGCCGCATGTCGGTCTGGCCAGTTTTCTGAGCAGGTTGTTGTGCATTTTGACCTTAGTCGTTGTCTTGTCTAAGAGATGAAGGGGGAGGATTATGAGATCAGTTTGCAAATATTTACGAAGGGTAAACAAGAAGGAAAAACAGGAACTATTTATGGTAGTAGATGGCAGTATAACCAAGGCGCTATCTACTCTGTGGTACGGCAGATCAGAAAACAAATCATAATGAACTGTAGATAAAAAATGGGAAAACATCTCACAGTGTTTTTTCTTTTTTCCAGACTCCCCTACTCTGTGACAAGCTAAACTTCAATTCTGCAATAGTCTGGCACAGCAAACTGGCAGTTTTACAATATCAGTTAAGTTAAAAAGATTAAAGATTTAGGGTGGGATTGTCCCAAAAAAAGTGAAAAACTGGAAAATCAGTGGAAACTGAGGTCCAGATCCTCTGAAAGTACTTAACTTCCTTTGGGCAGTTTTGAAAAATCTCACCCTTCAATAAAGATTTAAAACTTCAATTTAAGTGTACATGTATTAAATACAAAAATTAGTACAAATATATGAAGTCAGTATAGTGGCCTATGTGTTGTTTTGCTACTAAATTCGACTTATTTTGTGCTGTCCCCTCCACACTTTCAGTTTTCATTTTGCCATAATCTTTTGTTTGGTAATACATAATAGTGCAATAAATTTCAGTTGGCTATTACAACCATTTGGGAGGAGACTTTTGGCATCCCGGGCGGGATCAGAGGCAATTAAGTTGTGTGGGATAACCAGATTTGTTGGATATTTTACTGCTGATCAGCAGTGATATTTAACAAGGTTGAAAATTTTCTCAGTTTTCTTTAGGTTTCAAAGTTGATCCATTGAGATTACAGGGCAGTTTAAACCTCTTAGAACTACAGTTACAGAATGTCTGTAAACTAAAGAAGACACCACTGCATTAGTTTGTACTCTGAACATTTTCAGCAATATCTTCTGTGAGGGCTAGAAATATTTTTAAGTGAAATTTTAAAGTGGGAAACGCAGTTCAAAGGCAAGGGGTAGATTTCACAGCCACAAAAATCACTGTCTATGTATGGACCTAGGAGAGAGAACACTCGGGGACACATTCCATTTTTTCTATAATGTACACAAAAATTCTGTCATATCCAAGGAGAGAGATGCAACATAATCTGCCAAATAAATGTATATAAATGCAGCTGCAGACATTTTCTAAAATCTTATATATTCAGAGAGTGTGTGCACATTGATAGTACTGTCAGAGTGACTGAACTGAGAATTCAAATGTGGAGGGGCTAAAACCCTTACATGACCTCTCCTATGCAAAATATATATTTGCAATTGATACCATCAGGTATATTCCAAAAGCAAATATTTGCTCTTCTGATATATCTTTATTATCCAGAGATTTGAGTTTTCATTGGCAGTTAGTGATGTTTTAGCAGTAGCCAGAGAAGGCTGGGCAATCCCCCTTCTAATTCCCCACTTTCACTTTTAACACCTGTACAGCAAAGTTCTTGTTTTTTTTCGTGAAAAGAGATAATGAGTGTACACCGGATGTGTGATCCATAGAAGGCTTGATTTCTAGAAAGCAGGCAAACTCATTTAGGTATCCATCCCATGCAGAGGAAGGGGCAAGAAAGTATGTATTGAGGAGAGAGGGAATGATCCTACAACAACTCACTCAGAGTCCGCTACAGAAATATGAACATGGGCAGGAAATAACACAACAAAATAGCCATAATTAATAATAAGAAACCCAGTAGAAACTAGGAAACCGCACTAATATACTACAGTAACCAGAGTAGACAACTAGCAATATTAATACAGTTACTCAAAAGAGTCTGTTTTCTCCAATGTCTGCAAAGGAACAATAATCAAATACAGAACTTAAAATAAAATTATCCTAGAAGTTGCCTCTTTCTAGCTTTCCTTTCCTTACCCTTCCCATCTCTCACTCGTTCTCTGCCTTCTCACCATTTTTTCTCATTCACATTTCTATACAGTGTATTCTCTTATATTTATTAGTCCTTTCAGGACTTCTGTAGAACTCTCTCCCTCCACCACCATCTGTCAGCTGTCTTCTTCCCTTGACCCACTTGGATTTCCACACTTAGGATTTCCTTCTTTGCCACCTTTGTTCCTTCCCCTGTCCCCCAGGATTTTCCCCCCACTCCACCCTGGGATTCTCCCCTCCCCTCTTTTGGATTCCCCTTTATCCTCTCTTTCCCTCACTCCCATGGGATTCTCTCCACCATCCCCTCCACTACTTTCCTGGAATTTTCTTCTCCCCTTTTGTCACTCCTTACAAGGCCCCAAGAAGCAGGACCACAGTGATAGAAGAAGAGAGATGGCAAGAAGCTGGGGACCCTCCAAGGCAACAGGTATGTCTGTCTTACTCTTCATGCCTTACTCTCCTTCACTGCAGGGTTAGCAATGTGAGGAGGAAGAGACTGATGCTGACAGGCCAGTGGGGGTTGCAATATGGCTCCTCTGCACTCTACGGTGGTGCTGGAAGTGGCTTGAAAAACAGCTTTTCTGCCTCCTCCCAAATGCTGGATAAACTGGGGGGCAACAGGACCACAGGAATAAATGCAGAGCTGTCCTACAAGACTGTTAGATCATAGAATTGTCTCACAAGGGAAATAAGAACATAAGAATGGCCCTATTGGGTCAGACCAAAGGTCCATCTAGCCCAGTATCCTGTCTTCCAACAGTGGACAGTACCAAGTGCCCCAGAGGGAATGAACAGAACAGGTAATCATCAAGTGATCCATGCCCTGTCACTTATTTTCAGCTTCTGGCAAACAGAGGCTAGGGATGCCATTCCTGCCTATCCTGGCTAATACTCATTGATGGACCTATCAATAGCGGGATTCCCATTGCCTGGGACATACATGCCAAGCATGGCAATGTGCTAGTTTAAATCCTGCACTGGCAGGGGCTGGACATGATGGACTAATAGGTCTTTTCCAGCTCTAATTTCAATATTTCTATGAGTCCACAGGGAAATCCAAATAGATCTCACAAAGCTCCTTTGCTTGTGGGAAACATCAGAGCTAAGTGGTTGCCGCTGCATGGTAACTTCATTCTGAATTCTGTTTAACATAAATAGGTTCCACAGCTGCTCCTGAAGCACTGCGGCTTTCACAGCTCAAAGGGACATTGTTAATGCCACATTTATAATTTGTTAAGGAGTGTGTGGAGTGGAATATTTACAAAATTGCCATGAACAGAATGGTTTAAAGCAAAACATTTACAAAATC